TATGGTTCCCAAACGTGGACATCTACAAAAGCAAACATGGACAAAATCATAAAAACCCAAAGAGCAATGGAAAGACAAATGTTGCACATAAGACTAATGGATAAGAAGAGAAACGAGTGGATAAGAGAGAAAACAAAAGTGAGGGATGTTAGACAAGAAGTTGCAAAATTGAAATGGAGATTTGCCGGAACACAATATAAGACAAAAAGAAGACCGATTTAACAAAATTCTTATAAGTTGGAGACCGTGGGAATATAAACGAAGCATAGGAAGGCCCCAAATGAGATGAGCAGATGATATCAAGAAGCACGTGGGCTCTAGATGGATGACTGTAGCGACAGACAGAGAAGAATGGAAAAGGATTGGGGAGGCCTATGTCCAAAGATGGACCGAAGAAGGCTAATTAGATAGATAGATGGATAAACATTGTTAAAATATTAACAGCCTTTTTGTTAGTTTTGATTCTCCTCTTATAGTTACCCAAGGTTCCGTCACAGTATAAAGAGGTTCCAACCTTAACCCTTAACTGGTCCGGTACTGTAGCATAAGCATGAATCGATTGACCACTTCAAGAACAACATTTTCCGCGTTTATTGCCGATATACTATCTAATATTGATGAATATTAGAAAAAGTGATCGAAAATTGGTAAGTAAGCATGTCCAAATTATCAAAGGTATATCAGATCGTGTCGCCTAAGTTATATTAAAATAAGGAGAATATCAATTAAAAGTATCCAGGTATATGCCCCCACGACAGCTTATGATGACGAAGATATCGAACTATTTTATGAAGATATATCAAAGGCAATGGAAGAACATAAAAATCGTCTTACACTATTAATTGGAGATTTCAATGCAAAACTGGGAAGAAAAATAAACAAATGTAATATTTTTATTAGTCCTAATTTATTGTCTTTTATTCTAATTTATTAAAACTCACGATAATTTATCAAAAGTCTTTATTTTATACTAATTTATTTTACACTTAATAATTACAAATAATTCATTTGCGTTCGAACAATTTTAAACCGATATCGAGAGCTTCTTGTTGACTAACTCCTCAATGAGAATCTTCCGTTATTTATACGAAACCAGTTGGTGAACAGAATTTTGTAGAAAATACGATGCCGTTCTCGACGTAGACACAGCGGCAACGGTCTCAAAACTGGTATGTTCTTCATCGGCTCGTCCCCAGAAAATTCGATTGTTGTTTGTTTAGCGAAGGGGACCCAAATGATGTCAGGTAGATTTTTGACCTAGAAATTACGAGAATCATACAAAAGAATTAGTCATAAAATATTTACAGTTCTATACGCCATAACATTTAAAATCGTAACACAAAGAAGAAACTAAAATAGGAGATTTCGGGTATGGTCAGAGAAATGATAGAGGTACTACTTTGTTGAACTACCTAGAAGAAAAGCATCTATACGCAATGAACTCTTTTTACTAAAAGAAGCCCCAATGAAAATGGAAATGGATCAGCCCTAATAGATCTACAAAAAATGAGATCGACTACGTATTGTCCACCGATCGATATATCATTAAAGATGTAACAGTTCTTAACAGATTCACAACAGGTAGTGATCACAGGAGGGTCAGAGCAAAAATTAGTATGGACGGTAACTATGAAATGAAAAGAAAAATAATTAGAAACTGGGTAGATCTAGTAGATAGAAACAAACTAGGGCAATATAAAGAGATATACAAAGACTTATAAAAAGAACAACTTACCCAAAAATTAGACAGTGATGATAAACATATAGACGAAGTTGATCTGAAATGGAGATTTGCCGGACACAATATAAGACAAATAGAAGACCGATGGTACAAAATTCTTAAAGTAAAGACCTTCGGAATATAAACGAAGCAGAGGAAGGCTCCAAATGAGATGGGCAGTTGATATCAAGAAACACGTGGGCTCTAGGTGGATGACTGTAGCAACAGAAAGAGAAGAATGGAAAAGGATCGGGGAGGCCTATGTCCAAAGATGGACCGAAGAAGGCTAATTAGATAGAAAGATAGATCAAAAAGTGGACCTTCAGATTAAACTACGTCAAAGTCCGCTATGATGGTCATATGCCAGAAATCATATTTAAATTATAATGCCAAAAGATTATCTTTCGAATAAAGTCAATATTATGTCAATTTATAAAAATCATCATTGTTTTTTCATTTCAAGTCTGTACCTCTAAAAAAACCCTTACTAACTTCACAGTGATTAATATAGTAAAGTACCTATAAAAAAACACGTTGATTCTATAAAAGAAAATTAATTATTTGAGCTACAAGTAAAATACCGATAAAATACTTTGTCTTAAGGTCAAAGGTCACAACTTATGATTATTGTTAAAATTAATCTTATTGCAAAATACAGAGATGAGAAAAAATGTAATCTCTGCATATATTTGTTTATATTGTCGTTTTAATTATATCTACAAGGACTTCCACCTTATTATTATCTTGTACTCGAAATATCATCAGATATACATACACTGGTTATGTCACAACTATTAAAAACCAAAGAATACGAGTATCACATGCGCATAATTGTAGCGACTATTGTTTTATAACAGTGTTTTTGTGCTATTTAATTGTATTAACCAGTATTTTGTACAGGAAGTGTGGCGTTAATTGCTGAGCTAAAGTTCGCCTTTGGCTTTTAATTAACACCTACGAGACAAAAAATTGTGTTGTTTTTAACTATATTTAAAGGATATTTCATCGAATACATTGTTGTAAATTAACTGTTATAAAATAAACTCTTAATTAGACGTTTCGGCTTTTTAATTACAGGAATTATCTCGTTTTGTGATGATGAAAATTTTGATGGCTATACAAATTCTAAGTATTATTTCTACTACGTAATCATCCATTCATTTTTGCCTTCACGTTCAGTTTTTCTACCTTTTATATATATTAGCGAGGTTCCTATAGACTCTGCCGTATCTCGCATTTCGAGCGCCATCGTTTTTGTCTATCCATTCCTCTTCTTTGATGATGAAGATCTCCCTGGTCGGAATCCACTTTGTTCTTCGATCTCTGTGGCTTCTTTTTCTATTCTGGCTTTCAGAACTCTTTCATACAGTTTGCCAGTGGATGATGTAATGCTGATACCTCGGTAATTACTGCAGTCATTCCTGTTTCCCTTTTTGTAGATGGAGTTTATGTACGAGACTTTCCAATCTCTTGGGATACTTTCTCCTTGTAGGCACTTGTTAAATATTTTACAAAGCAATTCTAATGTTATTGCAGTGGCATGTTTGAATAACTCGATAGGTAAATCACCCGGCCCAGGAGCTTTATTATTTTTCATTTTTTGTAATGCGTTTTTTATTTCTTCTACGGTAATCATCGCCACTTCATTTAACCCCGTTTCAACTCTATCTATATGTGTGTCTAGAAACTGTGTACGTTGTTCATTTAATAGATTTTCGTAATAATTTTTCCATCTTACTATGTCTATGGGGTTTATTTTTTTTGTTTCGTTTGTATTTTTTCTAAGACTGTTGATAGTTTTCCAAGCTTGTCTGGACCTAGATCCTCCTACCATTGAGCTTATTTCTGCACACTTGTTGTCCCAGGTTATGTTTTTTGTTTTTTTAATTTCCTTTTTTACTATATATATTTGTATCTGTTATAGTTCTTTCGGTCTTCCTCATCTTTTGTCGCTAACCATTTGAGATACAGTTTTTTCTTTTCTTCTACCAGTTCTAATAAACCTTCTGTCCACCAATAATTTCTACGTTTTACTTTTTCTTTCGTACCTAGAGCTTCTAATGCTGCTTCATGAATTTTGTTTTTCAAATTCTCATACATTTCTTCCGCTGTTCCGTTTATTTCTTCGTCTAATTTTTGTGCCAAACGTAGTTTATAAAGAAAACTTGTGGACTCATTTTTTAAGCTGTCTATGTTATAGAGCCGTATGGATTCTTTGTTTGTCTGTTCTTGGGATTTATTTTGTTTAATATATCTTATTTCCACGGGTGCCTTTACTAGTAGGTGATCCGATCCACATTCTGCCCCTCTCCAAACTTTTACATCGTAGGGTCTTAAAGATGTCTCTTGTTTAACTACTATATAGTCTATAATTGACTGCAGTTTTCTTGTCTTTTGAGTCCATGTATATTTATTTATGTCTCTATGTTTGTAAAATCCATTCAGTATTTTTAACGAATGTTGTTCGCATACCTCCAACCATCTTGTTCCGTTCTCATTTACTACATCTTCTCCGTGTTGTCCAATTATTTTGTTGTCAAGAGCTTTACCTACTCTTCCGTTCAGGTCCCCTAGCAGGACTATTTCTTGTCTTTTTTTATTTTTGATTGAACATATATTTTAAATAAGGTCGGAGATAGACATCCTTGTTATCCTTTGTTATTGGAAATGATTCAGATATAAAGTTTCCATCTTTAACGATACTTCTTGCATTTTTGTATATAATTGCGATATCATCCACATACCTACTCTCTACTGAGACTTTCGTCAATGTTTGAAACAGTTTTTTCATGGTTTCAGGTACCGTATCGTATGCCTTCTCTAAATCTACAAACAATAGGTGGGTAGATAGATTTCTTGCCTTCCGTTTTTCGATTATCTGCTGCAGAACAAATATGCCATCAGTGCACGATCTTCCTGCACGAAATCCAGTTTATTCTTCTATGTCTGGGTATTCTGATTCTATTCTTTCTTTTATTATTCGATTAACATAGATTCCTAGTAGGTTGTCTCCATGTAAATTTGTGGATGTCTCTATGTTGAAAAAATCCATTCATAATTTTTAGAGACATTGTTTCGCAAAAATCTCTAAGACGCATTCCGTTGTCATTAGTTATTTGTTCCCTATATCTTCTTACGTCCCTATTATTCTCTTCTCTCCCGCCTCTGCCTTTTAAATCTCCTATGAGCACCGAGCTATGGCTGTCACTGATGTCAGATTCAAAAGGGTGTGAAGGGATTTGTATATATTTACGAAGGAATGTAAAAAAAAACTTCAACAAAAAAGTAACAAATATATTATTGTTTTATTAGTTCCAATGCGGAAAAATATTAGTAAATTCAATAGGTACTGAATCCAGCTTAACAAATTTCAAAGGTATTGAAACGCTCAACATCTTTTCCTTTTCTTCGGTATAGCTTCTAGCAAATTGACTTGCTAACGCTTCTAATTCTCTTAGAGTCTCTGAGGGTTTTAAGTCACATGTTATCAGCCAAATTTCATGATTATTGTCCAGCAAAAAGTATCCTACAATTGTATTTAATGAGCAAAAAATTTGAGACAAATACTGTTTTGTGAAAAACTCGTCAAGATATTAAAAATATAACAAATTATATTATTATAGTACATTTAGGCTAAATGACAATTGGGCATAAATAAATTTGAGCCGTCTGCACTTCCACATCAATTTAAGTTTAGATTCATAAATCAGTTTTGTAATACGCTCAATTTTAATAACTCTGTCACAGTTATACAAATTTACAAAAAGTTTTTTGAAGAATTTAAGGACATTATAAATATTGACTATTTATTTACGAAACCCATTCACTTTTAATAAGATTTTTCTAAAATTTAAAACATAACATTTTAATAAAATATGAATATTTTACAATATTGCAAGATTTTATAAGGGGATGTGACATTACGAATACAAGACCATTTAGAAAAAGAAGAACTGTCAGCTGTTACTAATTCTTATGTGAGCTGGTCACGTACCTAAGAGGTGGAGGCCATAAAACGAAAGAAGAAAGAAGTAGATGAATGTACTGGCTGATTATTCAGTCGGATCAGTCGAATAAACGTAAAAAAGAAAAAGAAGATCTAGATCTAACCAAAACTATATGAAATAGAAACTTATCCTTGTGATCTTGTGATTTTTATTTTTTATTAGGTATATGTTTAATGTTTAAATTGGCCCAGTAATCCGTATAATTACCAAAAATATTAGTACTTAGGACACTTACCTGGCTGATCATCAGATATACTTAGATAGGACTGTAAGAATGGGAAAGCTGCTACACAATCTTTACTCCTTAAAGGATATTCCACTTCTATAGCTGCAAACTCCCCTATAATTGTATTTAGAAAGAACAATTTTGGTGAAAAATTACATACTTCTTTAACATGCCAATATTCACTACTATCTTCTACAAACAAATCATCCTCTTCATTTTCTTTCATCTCCAATATTTCAAAATTTTTCCAGGAATCCACATAATTTCTAACTGTAACACCCAAAGATGCTTCTTTTACTACTTCATTTAATTCGTTTGTAATCTTGGAACCTGTCCAAACATATATACTCCTCGTTTGTGGTACTGCTATCACAAACACTCCCCTACTTCTTAAGTTTTTCTTCATAAATGGCACTTCATATAAATGCAATTCCCTGGAGAGTTCACCACGTACGATAAATAAATGTGGACTTGAAGGATTAAAATTTTCTTCAAAGACGATCATACGATTTTTTTCAAATAAATGGAAGAATACTGCAGGTTCACTCCATTGGACAATTCTATTAACAATAGCGGTCTCGTTATCAATGTCTGGAGGCAATGGAGAAAGCCCTGAAACAACATACACCTAACTTAATTTTATGGTAACACACAATTAACGTAGACACACCTTTGGGCGCTTTTGATCCCTTCCAATAAAAGAACACATTCTCTAATATCAATTCCATTTGTTCATGTACCATAGTAAAACTCCACTGAACTAAATATGTGTTAGTATTAACAAAAGCGCCAATAGATTCTACTGGTATCAATTTATCGTCGACAATTTGTGAAACAGACAAGGCAAAAGTCTGCAATATGTAAGAGAGTTTTTGATCTTTGGGATCCTTTGTAAATCCTCGACCGACGTTGCAGGAAAGTTAACCACAAAAGAAGGCTCTTCATATTGCTTATTTAATAGTTGAATAATATCACAGGTATTCATGTTAGATTTCAGTATTTTTATCTACCACTACCTACTGTTTAAAGTCAATTACTGATTTCACAATAATATGAAAATACAAATTTCCCACCCAAGTATCAAAAATATTTCATCACATTTTCTACCAAAGGTAGACAACACTAATTACAAAATTGGAGAGTTGAAGTTAAAAACCCGTGTTTTTCATACTATTTTATTATTGCGTGAACAAATATTTTATTTACTTGAATTTAAAGCCCGTTTAACGATGATTATAAATATATATGAAAACTTATTTACCTAATTAACTTAACAAAATACTACTCTGTCTAGGCAACACTAATTTTATAAAGATTATCAAAGAATATAGACGCATCTATATTCGCGTGTAAATCTGTTTTTATTCTTTATATAGACGGGGATATTGTATGGATTAGGAAAAGCCTGGTTATCGTTTTTTATTTTTTTGGTACTTTATTTTTATAATTATTTATAGGTAGCTCTAGCTATACATCCACTGTGGCAAAAGGCCACACAGAAACAGCAAAACATCGTGCTGAGAAAGTGAGGTTAAGGTGTAGTTGATCTGTTTTCATATTTCCTAGTTTTTCTCCAATTTAATTATTTTATAATGGAAGACAGCAGATTTACTCATATTAAAACGGATCCAAAGTTTCGACGGATACCGAAAAAGGAAAGGAAAGTTAAAATTGACAAGAGATTCCAGTCTATGTTCAATGACAAAAAATTTAAGGTGAAGTACACAATAGATAAACGAGGCAGACCAGTAAATCACACATCTAACGAAGATTTAAAACGCTACTACGAACTTAGTTCTGAATCAGAAAGCTCCATAAGTGAATCGGAAAATGAAGAACCAACTGAGGTTGGTAAATACGTAAAGAGACCTCCAGATAATGAAGACAGTGAGCTCAAAGTAAAAGATAAATCAGATAAGGTTCTAACCGATGACGTGAAGAAGAAATTGCGCGATCTGAGTGTAGATTACGCTAGAGGAGAATCAAATTTACTTTCTGAAAGCTCCTCAGATGATGAAGAATCAGAGGAAGAAGTCTCAGAGGCTGAAGACATTGACCACAAGTGGGGAGAATTAGATGCCGATGCTGAAAGTACAGAGGAACCGACGTGTAGATTGGCAGCCTGTAATATGGACTGGGATAGGATGAGGGCAATAGATTTAATGGTTCTTTTCAACTCCTTCCTTCCACCAGGGGGAGTCATAAAATCTGTAGCTATATATCCGTCTGAGTTTGGCAAGTCCCGAATGAAAGAAGAAGAGATTAAAGGTCCTACAGAGCTAGTGCAAGCAAAAGCAGATGATGATGATGAAGCTGAGGAAGATAAAGAGGAGGGATCGAGCTATCATATGGAGAAGTTGAGGCAGTATCAGCTTAATAGGCTTAAATATTACTATGCGATTATATCATTTGATAGTCCTGTTTCTGCAAACAAAATTTATACTGAATGTGATGGTATGGAGTATGAATCAAGTGCTATAAAGATGGATTTAAGATTTGTGCCTGAAGATATGGAATTTGATGATGATCCAAAGGAATATTGTGATAAATTGCCAGAAGTTAATAAATATCAGCCAAGGTAGGTGTCTTTGTCAACCATTTTCCATCCACTCCTGAATGTAGGTCTCTCCCTATTGCTTCCATCTTTCTCTATCTTGTGCCAATCTAATCCGCTGTTTGCTTGCCACTGCTCTTATGTCATCTACCCATGTTTTTTGAGGTCTTCCCATGTTTCTTGTTGTCATCTTTGGTCTCCATTCTAGAATTCTCTGTGTCCACCTGTTGTCGTTATATAGGGCTACGTGACCTATAGGTAGGTTATTAGTTTTAAACATTTAGATTCAATTTACACAGAAAATTTGATTGTGTAATATCAAAATCAAATGTACTTAATATAAATTTTTATTTATTTGTGCAAAAGTTTTTTTAAATCTATAAATACTGACGAGATTCTTATTGTTACATTGAGGCCTTAGATGAGAAAAAGCTCTGAGGTCATCTTTGGGAATGTTAGAAAGATCATATTCTACTTCAAGTGGTCACACTGTATTTGTTTTTTTCTGTCCACTTAATTTGACAAACTCAGTAAGCATTATGATATGTTGATGGGATGCAAGATAACTTGCATTTGTTCCTTGTAAAGATCTCTCATGATAAATTAAATATTTTTCTCCAGAAAAACAGAAATGATGCAGTATTGGTCATGGCCATTGAAAGTCCTTTGCATGGATAAGTTGGAGAATCACTCAGATGTCTGAATCTTACTACTTGAGGTGATATAGATAGCAATTTTTCCAATTATTCCAGAATTTGAGGTTCTGTCCAAACATTTAGTAAAATAATTAGGGCATTTTGATGACCATCTTATTTATTTCGTGGGTTAGTGTTTTTGATTAGATTATTTGATGAACATGATATTTGTTAATAGTGGGTCAGCCAAATATATTGCATAGTTCTTGTTGACTTTTTATAAAATAAAAAACTGGTCCTGATAAGCAACACCAACACATTTCCTAAATGACAGTTTGAAAATAACTTAATAATATTTTGTTTCAAAATTCTTTTTTTTTCAGATTTTTCACAACCACAGCTCTTCAACAAGCAAAAGTGGACCTTACATGGGACGAGACTGATCCCAACAGAATAGAAGTCACAGAGAAATTAAGTTCTGGCAAATTGGATGACCTATCACAGAAAGACCTACAGAATTATCTCGCCAGTAGTAGCGGTGAAGAAAACAGTGATGTAGAAGAAAAGGAACAGTCCGAAGATGAAGAGGAAAGTAAGGAAAATGTTATAGATAAATACAAGGCTTTGCTATTAGATATAGAGAACAAGGATGCGAGTAAAAAGGATAAGGATTTAGAAATGGAGATATCTTGGGGAATTAATTTGAAGGAGAAAACCGATAAGCTAGTTAAAGATAAGAGTTCTGAGGAAAAAACACCATTCCAACAATATTTAGACAAGAAAAAGGAGAAGAGGAAAGAGAAGAAAAAGAAGAAAAAAGAACAGAAGCAGGATGATGAAGATTCAGATGATATGCCATCAGACATTGATGTCAATGATCCTTACTTTGCAGAAGAACTTAACAACCCTGAGTTTAAGAAACCTAAAAAACAGAAGGAAAAATTGTCCAACAGCGATGATGAAGATGATCAAAAACAGTCAGAACTGGAGCTGTTATTGATGAACGATGATGACAAAAAACATTTTTCTTTGAAGAAAATACAAGAGAGTGAAAGCGATAAGAAGTCAAAAAAGAAAAGGAAGAACAAAAACAAAGATGATCAAAAGCCTGGAGAAGATTTCGAAGTTAATGTTAAAGATGAAAGATTCTCTGCTCTATTTACCAGCCATCACTATAATATTGATCCTACTGATCCGCACTATAAAAAAACTAAAGCTATGGAAACATTAGTGAACGAAAAGTTGAAACGCAGGGCTGAAAATGGACAAGAGGAGGTAGCAGTGAAGAAACCTAAATACAAAAATGCCGAATTAAGCTCTTTGGTGAAGTCAGTTAAAAGGAAAACCAGTGAGTATATGAATAAATGATTTAAAAATGCTGTGCAGTTTTATTTATTGTTTTTATATTAAAAAGTTGGTTTTATTAAGAAAGTTTAGGGAAGAAATATGGGAAAAAATACACAACAAAAAACAATGAAGATATGAGGTGGTCAAGCATATTATTGGACTATTTGAGAAGCTAACGAATGGACACCTGGCTTCTAATAGTAGTTTTAATAAAAAACTTGACAGTTAATATGATTTATTTATCAAGTAAATATTGTTAAGTCGATATAGCTTAATTACTTAGACAACTAAAATTAGGCCAGTTGTTTCTATATTTTGGTATACAATTCTGGAAGAGATGTCCTAATCTCCAATTTTCAATCCACTCCAATCAATGTGGGCTTTATATCAACTCTTTTGGATTCCCAGGTACAAGAAAAGTATAACTGTATAAAAACAAATGATAGAACGAGGCAAAATAAAATCCAAAAGACATATTCTCCATTTTTATTACAACACATTAGTTTGTAATATCAGAACATTAAAATATATACAAAATTTTTATACATTTATAGACATAAAGTCTAAAATTACATTCAAATAGAAAATAAATCAAAAAAACATTTATCCAAGCACACGAATATTTCTATTGTAACAGATTAATAAATAATTTGCGTCCTTTTCGGTTTTCAGCTCGCTGGAATCTTTCAGAAGTCACTTTTCTAGCAAGATGTACATTATTGCCCAATTAAAGTATGTAGAAAAGTATAATAAAGGTTGTAGCATGCAGTTGAAATGAGGTGAATACACTGTTTAAGCGAATTAATACATATAATTGTGATTTTTATAGTGAGACATGTCTCATATGGGCATTATCTACCATATTTCAATTATATTTAGGTAATTTTTGATATAGATCAACCAAAACAACAATAGGAATTCTAAGATTTCTACTTGGTGAAACTAAGCCTCTGCATATGTCGCTCTGATGATACCTAATGAGGTTGAAATATGTATAAGCGGCTGGTGGATGCAGTGCATTGAAATTAAAATCCAATACCGTCTTCCTGATCAACCAAAACATTTAACAAACGCATATTGACGTAATTATTTTTATCCTGCGAGACTTACCAATCGAATCAGTCATTATCTACATGTTAAATGCTTAAGAGGCCTAATAAATTCTTAGGGACTGTTTTAATTAGAGTATAAAACAAATGATTATAGAAAAAAATTAATCAAGAAAAATAAATGGATGACAGACGACATCTTGAAATGAATGGAACAACGTCGACTGATAAAATCTAATGAAACAGAATATAGACACCTGCAGAGAAGAATAAAAAGGGAGATCAAATTAGCTAAAGAAAAATGGATGAGAGAAAGGTGAGACGAAATTAAGGATGTAATGTCTAAACATGACTTATTTAATTTAATGTGTAAAAACTAAAAGAAATGAGTAACATATTTAAACAACGAGTTCCCTCTGTGCTCGATGACAATAATAACAAAATTATTGTAAATGAGCATGAAATAAGAAAAAAATGACAGCTGTATATATCAGAGTTGTTTGAAGATGACCGGAATAATATTGCCGAATTCCACCAAAACTGTACTGACGGCCGAGAAATTATGAAATGCGAGGTAGAGCACGCTAGAAATAATGCTAAAATTAGAAAAGCTTGTGGTCCAGATGATACACCAACCGAGTTGCTGAAACGAATAGATAATGGTAACTTAAAAGTAGTAGTAAGACTTTTAATTCAATATATAACACCAGAGTGTTTCCCACAGATTGGCTTAAATCCATCTTTGTCGCAATACCTAAAACACAATGCGCAAAAATGCTCAGAATATCGATTAATTAGCCTAATGAGTCACACTCTTAAAACTTTCCTAAGAATACTTCACAACAGAATTAGACGCAAATGCGAAGAAGATCTTCTTCTTCAAGTTCCACTCCTATCGGAGATTGGAAATCATTCTGGCAATTATAATTTTATTGGTTACTCGCCTGAATAGTTCAATTGAACTACATGCAAACCATTCACGGAGATTGCGTAGCCACGAGATTTTACGTCTTCCTACGCTTCTTCTACCTTTGCTTTTACCCTGCATTATATTCCTCAGTAGTTCGTACTTTTCACCTCTCATGATGTGCCCCAAGTATTCCAATTTCCTGATTTTTATGGAATTTAAAACTTCGCATTGTTTTCCTAGTTGTTCGAGAACTTGTTCGTTTGTTTTGCGATCCATCCATGATATTTTCAAAATACGTCGGTAACACCACATTTCGAATGCTTCTAGGTTTTTAATGTTGGATTTTTTAAGTGTCCAAGCTTCAACTCCATACAAAAGGGTAGAGAAAATATAACATTGAAGCATTCTTATCCGGAGCGATATATTGATATTGCGATTACAAAAAAGTTTTCTCATTCTATTAAAAGTTGACCGCGCAATTTCAATGCGGCATCTTATTTCTTTTGTCTGATCAGTATCTTCTGTGATCCATGCTTCTAGGTATTTGTTCAATTTCTGTATTATCTAGTACTAGCTTAACTTTGATGTTTTGTGCTTTTGTAAATACCAAGAACTTGGTTTTCTTCAAATTGATTTTTAGTCCATAATCGTTGCAATATATATTTAGTTGTTCAGCAAGGTGTTGCAGTTCTTCTAGTGTTCCAGCCAGAAGGACGGTGTCGTCAGCATATCTTATGTTATTAAGTGGCTCACCGTTTATTATAAGGCCCTCACTGATCTCGGTAAGCGCTAATTCTGAGATGGCTTCACTGTATAAATTGAATAACAAGGGTGATAAAATACACCCTTGGCGGACCCCACGGCGAATCTGGATATCCTTGGTTAGTTCGTTTTCAACTTTCACTTTTGCTGTTTGATTCCAATAGAGGTTACAGATGATTCCAATGTCTCTACTGTCTATGTTTTTATTTAATAGAATTTCTTTAAGTCGATTATGCTGCACTCTGTCAAATGCCTTCTCAAAATCAATGAAACAGGCATATACTTTCTGATTAATATCTAAGCATCTCTGCGAAAGAACACTTAATGCAAACCGTGCATCTCGTGTTCCCAGTCCTTTCCTAAATCCCATTTGTGTATTACTTATGCCTTCATCTAAATTCTTATGTATTCTATTGTGAATTACTTTTAAAAACAATTTCAAGACATGACTCATTAAGGCTATGGTGCGATGTTCATTGCACTCTTTTGCATTGGCTTTTTTGGGAAGCAGTATGAATGTTGATTGGAGCCATTCTTTAGGTATTATACCAAGATGATCTTGAAGATACCCAATTTGATTTTAAAAGTGCTATGGGAACCAGGGAGGCACTTTTTGCTTAACATCATATTACAAAAATGGCGTAACCAAAGAAAATATGTACTTGCATGTTTCGTGGACTTCGAAAAGGCATTCGATAAAGTACAGTATGTAACATTAATGCAAATACTGAAAAATATCAGAATAATGACAAGGATATTCGTGTCATTAAAACTTTGTACTGGAATCAAACTGCTATCGTAAAAATTGGAGATAACTACACCGATGAAATCTCCATACACGAGGAGTCTGACAAGGTTGCATTTTGTCGCCAACATTGTTCAATGTTTACTCGGACCAGTTATTTAAAAAGGCACTTGAGAGACAACCATATGGAATAAAAATTAACGGGGAACTACTTAATGTGATTAGATATGCAGACGATACAGTAATTCTATCAGATAATATTGAAGGTCTTCAAATTCTGCTTGATTGTATTCACGAGGTAGGAGAAGCATTGGGCATTAAAATAAGCTCAAATAAAACCAAATTTTTAGTGTTTAGTCGTGACCCATACCCGGTGCAAAGCTTCAACTAAACGGAGTCCAAGTTGAGAAAGTTCACAAAATGACATATTTGGGAAATGTGATAAGGGGCCAACTAGATCCAGACATAGAAATAAAATGTAGAATAGCAAGGACTAAATTTACTTTTATGAAAATGAAGTCACTTTGCAATAACCATTCAGATTAGAACTAAGACAAAGAATGGTTAAGTGCTATGTTTGATCCGTACTTTTGTATAGTGCAGAAGTGTGGACGCTAAAAGTATCGATCATGAACAAAATTGAAGCATTGGAAATGTTGGGTTCATAGACGAATGCTGAAGATACCTTGGACAGCAAGGAAAACTAATGAAGAAATACTAAGGAGCGTCAACAAAGATAGAGAACTACTAAAGACTGTTTAACATCGAAAATGTCTTATCTGAGACATAGAGTAAGGGGAAGTCGATATAAAATATTAAAACTGATCCTTACAGGCAAAATAAGGGCCGTAGAGGTGTAGGAAGAAAACATTCTTGGTTAAAAACTTCTGATGGACTCAGATACAAATGCAGGACAATATCCAATTGCAGAGTGCAATGGTGATGCCACGTGGTATTTGATAGCACGCGAAGAATGCAAGAGGAAGCAAATATAAGATCCATATTTGACAGAAAGACGAGGAACAGCCTTCGCAAAAATGGATGATCGCAACTTAACGATCGCATATTTAACTGAATATGGCACGCATGAATAAAGAAATATACAATGCAGTGCGTCAAGCAAAGATATACATTAATCGAATATAATAAATTTATGCAATTGACAGAGTACAGATTGTCAACCTAGGAATCAAATAACTTACAGTCTACTTTCCAAAATTTATGAATATTGTCGCATGTAGCATTGATAGGTTTTTTCATTTCTTTAGAAAAAATTAAATACATATTTTTCTAGTTAAATATTTTTTTGTTCAATCTATCTATATAAAAGCTATGATGCAGATCACACCGGTTGTTCAGTAAATTAACGACGCACTAGGAGGATATCTGAACTACCACCATTGACATTTCAATATATTTGTCGTGAACGATACGTTGAATGATAATACTGTATTAATTACATATAATATAATTAATAATTAATTTTAATAATATTTTTAAGGTAGAATTTATACAAAATAATTTAAACTTTAGTTAGTTTAGATTTAAAAATCTAATGCACTGAACAAGAATCTGAACTACTAACATTTCACTAGGAATCAGTCATATCTTGTTTTGAAACGATTTACTATTCCTAGGTATTTAGTGCTAGAAGAGATTGGATTTGTTAAGTGAAACTGGGGGACAAAGTCTCTTCTCAAGGTAAAAGTCACTTGGACTGATTCTGTTTCTTTCATTTTAATTCTCCACTTGTAAGACCTTCTTCTTCTTCTTAACGTGCCCTATCAAGTCCCTTGACGTTGGCGATTAACATGGCGAAACTGTCTCTGTCTCGAGCTATTCTAAATAGTTGCTCAGCTTTCTTTATTCCTTGTAAGACCATGTCTCGATTTCATTCAGTTGTACCTGTAGAAAGACGCTATAATTAGATTTTCGTCGGCTGCAAGAATGACAGCATCATCTGCAAATGTGCCAGTGATGGTTTCATTAGTGCAGGGTAGATCTGCTGTGTATATCACTTATAATATTGGTCCTAGAGCTGCCCTGTGGAACACCAGATTTTATAGGAAAATTATTGGAATTACTTTTGTTCACTCTTGTTCGGAATTCTCTCCCACTAAGATAGGATTTTAACAGTTTCAGGTACGTGATGGGTAAATATTTCTTGATTTGGAAAATCAGGCCTGTGTGCCAAACCTTATCAAAGGCTTGACTAACATCTAGAAAAGCAGCTGTGCAGTAGTGTTTGCTTTCCATTGCAGAAATTATGGTGTGTACTGAACCTGTTGTATTGTCGAGTGTTTTTTTTCTTCAAAAGCCTAATTGGTGGTTGGGTATCCATTCCTCCGTATTGGGGTCCGAGTTAATTTTTTTGTAACAGTAACCTTTCACAACTGGTAGTAGGCATATTGACCTATATGATGAAACATAGTTTGGATTTTTTCCTGCTTTTGGGATTACTATTATTTCAGCGGTTTTAAAGAGCTTTGGCCAGTAGTTTAATTGTAGAATAGCATTAAGGATGAGAATAATCAGTATGATTCCTTTATCTGGTAGTTCCTTCATCATCTTGGGTGTTATTTTGTCCAGTCCAGAGGCTTTTCTAATGTTTAAATATTGGATTTCTTGTTGAACTTCATTTTTGGTTAGTAGTCTGATTACTAGTATGTTCTCTGTAATGTTATTTATGTCCCTTTCAATTTCAATATCTGGAGCGTCGTTGTTGGGAGTAAATACTTGAGCTAGATGCTCGGCAAATAGCGTTGCATTTTTCTTCATCACTTCTGGCCCACTGTAGTGTTGGTCCCTGTTCTTTTCCAATTCTAGGTACCGGAGTCTAGGGCTTTTTGGATTTTTGATCGATTTCCATTATGTGTTATCGTACCAGTTTAGATTTGTTATGTAGTTTGTAAATGACAGTTCTTGTGCCTCTTTAAGTTTGGATTTTAGTTGATTGCTTAGCCTGTTTAATGTAGTCTTGTCTGCTGGGGCATGGGTTTGATGCCATTTGGTCCTAGCTTTCCTTTTTTGAGCTACCAACTTTTTAATTTCAGCTGGGATGTATTGTGCTTTACTACCTGTATTGTTGGCAGGTGTAGCATTTTGTACGGCCTCTATAAGAGTGTTGTTTAAAGCCGTTAATGTTTCGTCTATCTCTCTTGTTGTTTTGAGGCTTACTTGTAGACTAATATTTTCTTCTTGACTAAAAACTCACCTGGAAAGAACATATTCTTAAGAAGCGGAAACAAATTGATCTAAGAATGAAAGATCTAAACTGAATTGGCAGGAAATCGAAACTGAGACTTGAAAACAAAATCCTTGTATACAAAACCGTCATAAAACAGATCTGGACGTATGGAATCCAACTCTGGGGATGTGCGAGCAAGTCAAAAGCAGCCATAATTCAAAGATGCCAATCAAAAATACTCCAAACGATAGCTGATGCACCTTGTTCGTAAAGGATGTAATCACTAAATACAGCACAAAGTACCATGAAGTACTCGAATCACATAGTAACCCCTTACTCAAACCTCTGCTAGAACACCAAGCCAATAGGAGACTCAAAAGGAACTGGCCAGCTAACCTGAAAAACGGTTAAAGTTGTCTTGTCACTGGAGAAGACCTCACCACGCCAATATGAGCCCCTTACTCCGCAGCCAGTAAATTAGCTTATAGAACTTCATTTGTGTTTTGATTGCTAAAGATTGTGTCATAATAAAAAAAATCTGTGGTTAATATGTAAAGATCCGAAAAAAGATAACTTGTAGATGTGAATAAAAACTTATTTTTGAAGCATAAATAATTATCCATCTAAAGTTGATAAACTTTTACTACTAGAGATGGCCTAAACGGATCTAATTTACCCAGTGATTCAGATCTTTAAAGAACTAAGTGATTCATATTCATGTAATCAATATACAGAGATCCACGAACGAAAAAAAAATCAGATAGATATTTTGGATATTGATATTTCAATTGACCGTTTGACTTAACTGCTACAAATTTTCGGACCACAGATCTTTAAGATTCACTATAAATATCGTTATCTGTAAAAAATAGTTAAATATCCGAGAAGTAGGCGAAACAATAATTTAGATGTACATAATAAACCTATTTTGGAAGCATCACGAGCTATTGATCTGTATTTGTCAACTATTATTATTAGAGATGGGCGCAACGAGTGAGACATAGCAGAGAAAGTCAAATCATTAAAGAACTGACTGATTCGTTACTGAATCTGCACAATTAAGATTGTGAATTGTGAACAACAGTGCATATTCGTGTGATGCGAATTTGCCGAAATCAAATTAATGTCCTTGGTAATATATACGCTAAATCCGGATCAGTAATAAGATGAATCGGATCAACGATCCGAATCTATAAGGTTTAAAACTGTTAAAATTATATAAACATTATATTAACATGTATAATCCTGTATATGATAAAATCTGGATGAAAATAATTCAACTTATAATATATTCTGAAGAAATACAACAATAGGAATGAAATGTTTGTGAAAGTTTGGAATTTTAGAGCAAAATCTGTTTAAATTTGACTCATTTTCTATTGGGACAGGTTTGTGTGATGTTTAAATTGAAATTTACACATATTGATCTACAAGGTGTTTCTTACCTTGGTTGTTCTTAAACACAATAAACTGTGTGACCTATGTCGGGTCTTGAATATCCAAAAATACAAGTTTATTCGATCAAAATATACACCTTGAAAGATTCATTTTGAGATATCAGGTAATAAAATCACAGCCAAGTCTAAATAACACTATATTTATCGAGGAATTTAATTGTAATTTATAATACATGATATTTACCTATCATAGTTTATGAATAAATGGTTTTTTTTATTCATCATTAGTTTTTTTGTACCTGTTGCAGTTTCGATTACACTACTGCAAACAAGTAACTCCAATACGAACATTTTCAAACTTCCACATACATTTCTCAATTGAATAAACCAAATAACCGAAGAAACATTTCGAAAATAAAAAAAAAACATCAACAGCAATAAAATTTCTTAAGAACCAACCACTTTGCTAACCTCTAACGAAACCGTACCTATCGAACTCGTACGACGGTCCTAGAACAAAAACGAAATCGTAAGTATCAGATCCCGAGACTCATCTCAGCCAAAGTTTGAGTCTCAAAGCGTCCACGCCGTTCAAGTAGTACCTGAAGAGTCGTTTGTCTCGGACGAATCCGAGTTTTTCGTACAGCTGAAACATAAAAAACATACCAATAACTGCCTATTTGAATAATAATTAACAAATTTGTCAATAATCACCTATTATAAATGATGATATAGACTTTGTAAATGTCTTGACTGTATTTGAAATTAATGTACAGTTTTGCAGGTAAAGATTATAATATTATAAAATTCACTCACCTGAAGAGCAGGTTTGTTGGTAACCTCTGTCTCTAACACGACCTCATCAGCATCGCCGAGAAGCATTTCATTAATTGCCTTTTGTACGAGATTAGAGCCGATTCTGAGCTTGCGGTACTTCTGGTCAACCGCTAACATGGCGATATAGCCTCTTTTGATGACCTTACGGTGTATATCTAATTTACAAACTATTGCTCCTACACATTCATCCTCACACATTGCCTAAAAATGTTATTTTTTACCACAAAACAGTATTTGCTGAAGAATTACTTGCTAAAACAAGTTTTAGCAACTAATTCTTCCTTATTCATCAACATAGTGTCCTCTTTTGATACAAATTTTGTTCTCTGGTACATTTTTTTTATCATTTTCTCATCAAAGCACTTTTTTTCTTCATTTGTGACATTTTCTATTGCAAGTTTTTCAACAGTCTATAGTAATCATTATTCATAGTTCATCCTTTTCCAAAGTAACCAATAAAGAAAATCCCCTGTGTATGGTAAAATATAGAATCTGAAACCTTGCCAACTGGTGCTTGCATCTTTGGTCACTTCAAATGACTTTTATTTCCTGCCATCCACTCGTCTGCATGCCAATTTGACTTCAGATTAAAGTGGTGAGTTTATGAGCAAACAAGACATCCAGTTCAATCACAGTTAAATTTTTTTTGTTTTCTAGGACACCTGTAGAATATCAGCTAGTATAGTGTTATGCATTTTTCTAATTGTAGTAACATAATTTAAGTCAGCATAATCCTGTAACCTTTGTTTCTTCCAGATTAAATTAAATCAATAACATTTATTAAACCATTTCTTCATTAGACAGTTTTCCTGTCAGGAAAGAATCCTTTACAAAACATTTATTTCGAAAAATTATAGTCTAATTGGGATACAATTTGTTTTAATTTGCCCCTGAAAAGTTCAACTAGATTTTCAAAATAAATATTATATTAACCTCACAAAAGCCTTTTCTATATGAATTTGTAATACAAATTAAGTTTCAGAGAGTACTTACCAAGAAACAAAGTTTGGGCCAATTGTGAATGAAATATCTATATGTGTAAATGGAATAAGGTTCAGACAGATCCTTTTGAATAATCTTCATTATCATTGGCATCTGCAATTCAGATTCATATTGTATAAAATCTATTTTTGGCTTAACAGCTAGTGCATTATCAGTTTCGATTGAGGATACACTTTCATTTTTACTCTCTAAACTAATGTTTTTCAAACTATCTAAATCACTGATATCCACTTCACTTGAACCTGGTTGAGCATCCTTTAGAGCTTCTAATAGCAGTTCAGGGGAGGTTTATCACAAGAAATGTTTTCATTTGAGTCTAGACTTGTTTTAGAGCCATTTTTACTATCTATAATATTTACATCTTCATTTAGAATGTCATCCGATTTGCTTTGGTTTACCTGTGAACAAAAATATTGTATGTAAAGCCAAAAAAGGTTGATACACAAGATAACATCAGTAAATAAGTACAAAGTTTTCCAGAAATATTCAAAGCCAGGATAGCTGTGTAAACAGAAAATCTCTAAAAACCTAATTAGTGTTTAAAAGACACACAAAATCCAATAGAAACATTACCAGTAAAGATCAAGTTGCAAAAACATAAGTTCTGACAATTGAAACAATGATGTACAAGCAATAGTACAAAAATAAGATTAGAGGAAGGCTTATTCCAAGTACTTATAAATAGACTTCATCTAAAAAATGTCAAAACTGAATGAATGGATAACAAATTTTGTATCACCCAGTAAAAAGACAGCCAATAAAAGAAAATATCACTCTAACCATTCAAAACTGTGTAAATCAACCAAAAATAAGCACTTACCTTCTCATTGACAATGCAGTTCTCATCTGTTTCATGAATATGTACACCATCTAATATATGATGAGTATTCCTTTTTTTCTTGGCATTTTTCTTTGTTCCAGAAGAATTATTAACATTGACTATTCCATTTACAAGCCCGTTCTTTAGTTCTAGTGGTTTCTCGTTTAAAATGCACTTGTTTGATACGTCTTTAACCTTATCATCACCTAAAGTTGAAGGACACTTATCAACTTTACTATTTATTGGGTGAGTCTTATTCATTTTCTAAATCGACGAGATTTCACCTTAAAATCATTACAATGTCGATTTCCTAAGAATAAATAAACGGCGTGTAGAAAAATATCTTCGATTAGGACATATTGACGTAAAAAATTGAGATGAAGGGAAGACAGTACAAGAACTTCAGGGATTTTTAGGTTATTTGCAAGGCTGCCAGGTCTAGGGATTTATCCCGAATCTAGGGATATTTCAGTATAAAAGGGACAAAGGGATTTTTTTGATATTTATTGTAAAATCTAGGGATTTTTGACCAGCTCAAATATTTACCTACATAGGCCTATTATAATAATATTTTCTTTAATTCAGGTGTAAAACCACTTCGTATGACCGGTATTAAAGAAGCGATCTCTCATTTCATTACAAATAATTAAACTACTAGTAAACTACTTAAGGATTCTATTATCAGATGTCGCTAAATGTCCTCGTTCTTGGAATTTTTATTTTATGCTACCAAATAGATTTCTGCCAAAAAGAGATTCTTTCCTATATATTATCATAAAGAAGAAGCAAATTCTGGAGCAAGAATTAGGGGTTTTACAAAAATCTTAGATTTTATAAAATAATTGGGGATTTACAGTAGGAATCGGGTGAATCCCAGGATTCGTGGCAATATATCAATAAAATTCTATGCTTCACCGTCTAATTTCTCTTCAAGTGTATTTTGTATTAATTTTATTACGTGAATTATACTTAATAATATATTAAATGGAATATTCAAAGCCATAAATAAGTACGTTATTCCATTTTTGTTAAATTTATTTAAATCACCGCTATAGTATCGTTTAAAAATCTAATGTTTTTGAAATAAAGGTATAAAACAACAATATTTTTTTAGATTGAGTTTGTCGAAAGTACAAGCTGAATATAGCCGCAAAGTCAAAAATATTTCGGCTTGGAGTGTTTTATGTTTTTATAATGCATAATATATTGTATGTTTCAAATATAAAGAGTTATAAAGCTTTTAAAAAGTAGATTTTGATTATACTATTTTATGAATTCTGCAATTTTTAATTTATATGAAGCAGTAACGTGTAGATATTTGTCTCTTTCTAGATTAATTGCAAACATCTGTTGTAATCTGGCAACTGCTGATTTGATGATTGCCAAATCTATCCCCTAATCTACCAAAGGGTAATTGCTAAAAAAAATTATAATAATTAACTGCAATTAATCTCCAAAGAAACAAATATTTACTCATTGTTGTTTTATATAAACCAAAAATTGCAGAATGCACAACATAATATAAACAAAATGTACTTTATAAAGCTTTATATTTTTGTTTCATGTTTAACATTTGCGGCTATAACCAGCTTGTACTTTCGGTAAACTCAACCTTTTTTATATCCATGTTATTATATTAGGCAACCATCAATACATCCCATCATTTTATTCAGAATTAGGCAACCATATATACATTTATTCCAATCTAGGGATTTCTAGGGATATTTTATTGTTCAATTTAGGGAGACAAAAATTTTCACCTGGCAACCCTGGTTATTTGCTTCCTGCTTCAGCGCGATGTTGAATGTCACTCTGCGGACATTTTGCTGAAAACGAAGAGAAATTGTTAAATTGGAACCCTCTGCAGGGATTAACCAAACAGTAGGTACGTACAATCTTTCTAGAAATAGTTAATTTTACTTACACAACTTGAATTGCAAAACTAGTGATGAATCAAAACAAAACCTAACCTCACTTGTATATTTTTGGTCAAGTTGTGAAGATAGTTGCATAACTAATTGTCCCTGTTTCTTTTTTTACTCAGTAAATTTAAAAGCTTCCATTAACTTTTCCACTATGCGTAAAATCGATGATACATTTAATTAAAAACTACAACCAGTTCTTAAATTGAAAAAACATCAAGTTATAAAAACAGCTGTTAAATTTTATAGGCTATAAAATTTTTCAAACTCAGTAGCAGAAAAATTCCCACTTTAGATAAATATTTTTATATTGGTGCAAAATATTGGTGTTAAATATTTTCATATCATGAATTTAAAACATTATTATTTGATGTCGGAGAAAATATATCGTTTTTATAGTTCTAAACAAAAACATATCTAAGTAAAAAAAGATTTTTTTGGAAAGAAATTTCATAGTGTACTAGTCATTTCAGCTTCTTTAAAATTCGCGTTGCGTCCAGCTATAGGACGTTTCACTTCACTCCAAACCATTTCGATGAGATTGAGTTCACAGTGATAGTGTGGAAGCCTCAGAATCTTCACATTGAGCTTTTTGGCAATATCTTCTATTATGTACCTGTCATATTTTGCTTTGAAGGCCTTGACTACATCAAGTAACTCGCATTTTAGGTAGTCTTCTTCAAAAAATAGGTCCTTTGACAGAAGCCATTCTTGAATATCTTTTTTTAGTGTTGAACTGATGGGAATTTGTTCTGACTTTCTGCTGTGATAGGAGGCATTGTCCATTACCATAACAGTTTTTTCTGGAAAATTTAGCATTAAGTTATTTTCGAACCAATCTTCGAAGGTCGGTCCATCCATTTCGTCGTGGTAGTCCTGAGTATTTTTCTTTGCCAAAAACGTGAGCTCTGCTCCATCAACAAATCCACTGGTAGATCCTGCGTGCAATAAAACGAACCGTGCACCACGAGCTGTTGGAGCTTTTAATCCTGTTGTCAGACCACGAACAAAAGCTTCGCGATGAGATGTAATTGTTTTATCAACCCATTCTTTTTTCACACTGTGCCCATATTTACCCATGATTCATCCAAATACACTATGTTGTATCCTTCTGCACTTATTTACGAATTGCGCGTAAATAACGATGACGCCACGAGATGATTTCTGGTTTTTCAATCAAAATTGAATTTCTGCCACGTTTTATAAACACAAAGTCCATATCACTCACAATCGATGTAGCATGGCCCGTAAAAGTTGGGCAAAGTTTCTTCGACATTTACAACAGCTAATATGGTGTTTATTGTTGGTGGTATGGAACCTTTCGCTTCTTGGGCCTGGTCTTTGGAGATTGTAATGCAGCAGGTGATGAATATTCCTGTCGTATGCGAAACAGAGTCTTTTCGCAAACATCACTCATTTCTGACACTTTCCTAATTACACTTGATACAGAATCGTTGTTATCCTGATTAAGATGATAATTAAGAATATTCATTAATATCTGCTGCTCTAAAAGTTTCAGAGATTTTCTACGTTTCCATTGAACAATTTCCTCCATTTTGCAGTAAAAATTCGGCGCCAAATATAACAATAGCCAACAACAGAAAATAACAATAATTGCCAACAGCAAATCACAACAACAGCCACCAACAAAGAATAACAATAACAAAACAGTAACAGTACATCCAAGATGGTACAAACCATCGTAACTCGAATATGTTTACGCGCTCCGAAGAACAAATAAAGACTAATTCAGGCCCTGGATGTATCAAGCTTTGAAACATATTCTGTACAAGAATTACTCTAATTGTTTCTTAATTACTGAATAACTTAGAAGAAAGTATTTGAAAAACTTTAAAACAAATGTTTATTTAATGCACATTTTATTATACTACTACTACTAATAAAAGATAAAAGTTAATAAGTTACTATTAGAAACAAATAATGTATAGTATTATGTAAAATTATTAGCAAACGATATTTGTAAATGACATAAAATTGTACGTGAGGACTTGTTGAGAACTCCTGGTTTATTCCGTTTATTTTGAAAGATAGACAATAGAGAACGCCATCGCTCACTGCATAAAACTGGCAACGTCTTAGCGAAATTCCCATAAGGTTAGCATTGTATATCTTACCCTGTACAGACTAGTCACTTTGAGACAAAGAATAGACACTTGTTGATGCTATGTCTGAATATGAAAAATGTCTGAGTATAAATATAAAACATCTTTGCCAATAAATTGGATCACCATGTTCACGAAGACAAGGTGTCTGGTAACTTTTTGTCAGTGCATGTCAAAATCAAGTTTCCAGTGCCTTAAAATCAGAGAGATAACTTCTCTTCAGAGAGATAATTTCCAGAATTTGAGCGATGTCGCAGATAGAAAATCTCCGATTGAAACGGCACAACGTGAAGAACACATTGGTTAAAGATATGTCAAGCAATATTTTCTGCTCTTGAAGTTTAATGTTCTTGTTTTTCAAACTTTCCAGAAATTACTGGGTCACCTCGAAAACATCAACAAATCTTTACATCTCTATTTATTAAATATGTAAATATAGCCCAGTAAATAATTTATTACATTTTTTGACATCGCCTAAAAATAAAAAAAAAATCCACGCAACCACACGCGCAAATAGCAACATATTTTTTGCATGTAGCGAAAATATAAAAAATATTTAAGTGAGATCATATGGTAGAAAAGAAATGAATGGGGTATTTATTTTGCTAAGCGATATAGATAGATAAATATGATTAGATGTGGAGTAAATTTCCTGAATGTAGACGTGTGCCAAAAGTGAGTTTATTTTTAGATGAAAGATTTGATATATTGGAGTCTATATTTGTTTAAATTTGAGTTGCATTAAAAATTAATTGATATTTAACGAGGATTGTGTAAAAAATTTGAAATTGCAATCCTGATTTTGTAAACATTGCCAAATACAGTAGTGTTGGAAGGTGGACTATCTGAGTATGTCGTTATCTTAAAATTACAGATTTAAAATTAGCAAAATGGCAGTTTATACAGTCGTTAATTGTCAATTAGACATATAGCCTTCTTTTTCTTCGCGTGTCATGTCAGAATTATGCTACGTTGGTGTAGTTATCTCCAATTTTTACAATAGCAGTTTGATTCCAGTACAAAGTTTTAATGACACGAATATCCTTGTCATTTATTCCGATATTTTTCAGTATTTGCATTAATTTTACATGCTGTACTCTATCGAATGCCTTTTCGAAGTCCACGAAACATGCAAATACATCTTTTCTTTGGTCACGGCATTTTTGTAATAGGATGTTAAGCGCAAAAATGCCTCCCTGGTTCTCATAGCATTTCTAATACCAAATTGGGTATCTTGGAGATCTTCTTCGCATTTGCGTCTAATTCTGTTGTGAAGTATTCTTAGGAAAATTTTAAGAGTGAGACTCATTAGGCTAATTAATCGATATTCTGATCATTTTCTCGCATTGTGTTTTTTAGGTATTGCGACAAAGATGGATTTGAGCCAATCTGCGGGAATTACTCCGGTGTTATATATTGAATTAAAAAGTCTTACTACTACTTTTATGTTATCATTCTCTATTAGTTTCAGCAACTCAGTTGGTGTATCATCTGGACCACAAGCATTTCTAATTTTAGCATTATTTATAGCATGTTCTACTTCGCATTTCATAATTTCTGGGCCGTCAGTACAGTTTTGGTACAATTCGGCAATATTATTCCTGTCACCTTCAAACAACTCTGATATATACAGCTGCCATTCTTTTCTTATTTGGTGCTCATTTACAATAATTTTGTTATTATTGTCAACGAGTACAGAGGGAACTCGTTTTTTTAAATATGTTGCTCATTTCTTTTAGTTTCTTGGTGTTTAGATATTACATCCTCCATTTCGTCGCACCTTTCTCTCATCCATTTTTCTTTGGCTTTTTATTCTTCTTTGCAGGTGTCTATATTCTGCTTCATTAGATTTTATTAGTCGACGTTCTTCCTTTAATTTCAAGATGTGGTCTGTCATCCATTTATTTTTCTCATTTAAGTTTTTTCTATAATCATTGTTTGTGGAGATTTCCTTCAGTTGGTTTTACATTCACTCCATAGTTCTTCTGGATCTTCTAGTTGTTCCCCGATGTTTTTTATCTTCTTCTTTGGGTGCCGTCTTCAATGAAGGTTGGCGATAACCTCAGCAAAATCATTTCTGTCCCTGGCTTTTCTTATTAAAGATTGAGAATCCAAACCAGTCCACTCACGAATGTTCTTCAACCAGGACGCCTGCCGTCTACCAGGACCACGTTTTCCTTCTACTTCCCCTCTATAAGAAGCTGCAGTAGCTGGTATTTCTCATTTCTGTATATGTGTCCCAAATATGAGGTTTTCCGTGTTTTCATCATTTTTAAGAGTTCTCTGTCGATACCCATCTTGTGTAGGACCTGCTCGTTGCTCATATGCGCTGTCCATGTTTTTTATTCTATTGTTAAATTCTTTTTTAATGTTATGTTTTATGTTTATATCATCAAAGTTAAGTTCATTGGTTTTTGGTTTTTGTCGCTGAATTCGATTTAACCTTAGTTTAATATCTGCTACAAGTGGTTGATGATCAGATCCAATATCTGCCCCAGGAAATGTAGTGACTTTTTTGACAGCATTTCGGAAACGTTCATTTACAAGTATATAGTCTATTTTATTTCTTGAAGACTCAGGGTTATTGCCATCATCAAATGGGGCTTTCCAAGTCTATAGTCTTCGCTTGGGTAGTTTATACCAGGTGTTTGCAATGATCATTTCATTAGCAAGTATAGCCTAGTCGTGCCTAAAACCGAGACGAACAAACTGAATTTTGCTGAGAATATCAATTTTGGAACCCAAAAAGATGCAAAAAATTTTATCCCCCCGGGGTAAAATTAAGCTTATTCGTATGATTTTTAGAGGTTCAGTGTAATTTTCGTCAGTGACAGAAGAAATTTCAATACGAGTGTGTAGTGATTTAGATAAAACCCCATCTGTTCATTAAAACCGCCTTACAGCTCACAAGAAAACTTGCAAATCTGCTTGC